TATTATTTTAACTTCAATTATTTTATAAATTTTTTTTATATAAATAAAAAAAAAATTTACTAGATTTAAATTGCGGAAATTTAATTAAACAATCAATTAATATTGTACATACATATAATTAAAAAAGAAATAAAAATAAAATAATTAAAATTTTGTTTTATTTTAAATATTTACAAATATTTATAAATATTTAAAAAATTAATATTTAATTATTAAATATAATAATAATTTATATAAATGATAGTTAAATGTAGATTAATTATACTTCCCGCTGAAGGACTTCGGGATTCAATATGGCGATTGGTTTCTGATTCGAGTAGAAACACAGCGTCAGAAGGATAATATCACTGAAGGAAGTTTCTCTCTCTTTATATTTTTCTAGAATAGTTAAATAATACTCTCTTCGAAGTATCAAAAATATAAATATGAAATAATATATATATTATATGATAATGCATAATTATTATGTACACTATCAAATTTTAATTTTTATATGTTAATAATAATATATCTATTTAAAAAAATTATTAAATTTTATATTACTAAAGTGAAAAAAACTTGTGCCAAGAATGTCTCAGGACGATGATGTAGGATTTTTATATAAAACAATGAGTAAGTTAAGAAACTTTATTAAATATATTTTAAGATATTTCGCTGTAGGTTAAAATGAATATAATAAATAAAATAAATAATTTTTCATGATATATTATATGAGAAAGATTTTAAATTTAAAATTTTTTTTTTAAATTTGCAAATAATCTTAATTACTATTTTTTCAATAATATAAATTTAAAATACAAACAAAATTAATTCAAAAAATGAAACATTTTATATTTCATAAAATATTTATATTTTAATTTTATATATTTATATTTTTTTATGAATATATGTATAATTAGAATAAATAATAAATAAATATAAAATTTAATTAATATATAATACATTTAGAATAATAATTTTACTAAATCAACAACTTAAATATGAATTAATTTTAATACATATAAATCTTTTTTTAATTTTAATGTGATTTTTTTATTTTTAATTTAAAAAATATTTAATATTTTAATAATAATTTATTTAAAATATAATAAATAAAACAAAATAAAAAAAGAACACATAAAATGATCGTAATGCACAAAACCGGCGTTGTATTCCTTCGCGTATGTCAGTATTTTACAGTGACGACTTGATGAGTTTGATATATATATATATGTAGTGGGAGGCGTTTAAAAATTATACATATAGCGGTATACGGATGTGTCAGAATTCTTAAAGAAAAAATAATTTATATAAAGAAAAATATGAAATATTACCATTGAAATTAAGCAAAAGTTTTGCTTTAAGAATAATATGACTAGCATTTGTACGTATTTATTGTGAATTAAGTACATACATAACCTAAAATTAATTTTTTGTACCTTTTTGGGAGTGCATATCCCTTGGATTAAGTATGTTGTTGATAGAAAAGTTTTTATTCTCGTATTTATTCCTTTTGATAAAACATTTAATAAATAAATAACAAATAGTTATATACAACAATTCTTTTTAGTTGAGAGAGATCCAAAAAAAAGGAGGGTTAAGCCTGTAGGATCAGCACAATCTTTACTTGATTTTGATTTAGGTGAAAGCTCTGATGACAGTGATTTTAGAATTGAAGATCATTGTGAATCTGATGATGATTCAGTGGATTCTAATGATATAGGAAAAGGTAAAATATAAATAGTGATTTTTAAATATAATATTATTAACATATGTTTAGAAATTAACTAATATAAATTTATTAATGTATATGGAAGAGGAAGAAGATGTGTCTGAGCAATCTGATGATTCTTTGGAAGATCCATTACTAACTAAAAAAGAAAATCCTAATTTAACTGTAGGAGATGTAATTGAACAAGCTAGACAACAAGCATTAAAAGGAAGTTCACTTGAAGATAAATTAAATAAAATGTTAATTTGTTGTGGTTGCTTAGGAGATAGAAGCGATGATGTTAATGAAATTGTTGAATGTGATGGATGTGGTGTTAGTGTACATGAAGGTATAAATTTTAAATATCTTATTTAATCTTTATCTAAGTATCTAATCTAAATTTAATTATTATTTAAATTTAATTTATTTGTATTTTAATATTTTGTATTTGTATATTTTACTTTAATAATTTGTACTTGTATTATTTGTACTTTAATAATAATAATAGTAATAATAATAATAATAATAATAATAATAATAATAATAATAATTTATAATATTATTTACAAATATACATTGATAAGCAATAAATATAAACAATTTCTTAATTAAATTTATTTAAGGATGTTATGGTGTATCTGATGTAGAAAGCTTTTCAAGTACTGATTCTTTATGTCAGTCAGCACCATGGTTTTGTGAAGCTTGCAGTGCAGGCATTGAAGATCCTTCTTGTGAACTTTGTCCTAATAAAGGTGGAATTTTTAAAGAGACTGATGTAGGCAAATGGGTACATTTAGTATGTGCACTTTATGTACCTGGAGTTGCTTTTGGAGAAGTATGTAAAGCTTTAATTTTTGTCAAGTATAAACTAAAAATATTTTTAGATATCTATATATATGTTTTAGGTTGATCGCTTATCAAGTGTAACACTTTTTGAAATGGCATATAGTAAGTGGGGAGCAAAACAATGTTCTTTATGTGAAGATGCGCGCTTTGCTCGTACTGGTGTATGCATAGAATGTGATGCAGGAATGTGTCATACATATTTTCATGTTACTTGGTAAGAATTATTTGCAAATATAATTAAACTATTTAATACAATCATAAAAAAATATACAAAATAATTTATATGATATTGCAGTGCACAAAGAGAAGGTTTATTATCTGAAGCTCATAGTGAAGAAGTTGATCAAGCTGATCCATTTTATGCACATTGTAAACTTCATTCCGATAAAACACTTGTTCGTAGACGTAGACGTAATTGGTTAGCTTTACAATTACGAGCTCAATACCGACAACAATTATTAAAACAACCTAATCATTTAGATACTGAAGAACAGCGTAGAATCCAAAGAAAATTAGCAAAACATAGACATAAATATTTAGCTCATAAAGCTTCCAGGCCACCACCATGGGGTATGTTAATTAAATATAAAATATTCCATATAAAAATATATATATAATATATGTATGTACATATATATATACATGTTATTTGTAGTACCAACACAAAAAATGCCTCGATTATTAACTACTTCAGCTTCTGCTTGTCGGCAACTAGCAAGAAAAGCTGAACTCATGGGTGTTGATACTGCTGCATTAGAAGCTCAAGAAGCACAACTTGTAGCTTTAGTTGATGTTAGAAAAAAGTGGCATATTCCTCCTGCTTTTAGCGTAGAATTTATCGGTTATTATTTGGATCGCAATTTGCGAGTCACATCTATGAAAAGACGATTACAAGAACTTCTTGATATTAATTCTCAATTACTTAATGAACAACAAAGATTAGATAGAAGATATGATGAAGTAATGAAAGATAATGAAGAACAGATTCGAGTTAATGTAACACTAAAAGAAAAAATAGAAATGTATCACCAAGTGCTTAAGAGTGGTGGTTATGTAAAATCATTACCACAAATAACTGATTTGGCAAAACCAAGAATAGCACCAACTCTAGGTAAGTTAAATATAAAATATATAAAAAAGAACAAAAGTATCATGATTTTTAAATAGGTACAGGTTTAGGTGTCCCTACTGCAGCAGCTTTGAAAATGGGTGTTGGTTTTCCTTTACCAGTTGGTAAAGGAACAGAAGGAGTACGTGAAGGTAGAGTTTTAAGCAGTCAAGCACAAGATCAAAATCATAAAGGAGAATTAACGTTAAGGCACCAATGTGGAATATGTAGAAGATCTACAAATCAACATTTACTTGCAAAATGTGATACGTGTCATCTTCATTACCATTTATCTTGTCTTAGTCCACCTTTATCACGTATGCCTAAGAAAACAAAACTTATGGGATGGTATGTATATTATTTATAAATAATAATACAATCTTTTTATTGATTACATTTTAGATTTAAAATAATAATAATAATATATATATAATATAATATAATATATATTATATATTATATATTATATTATATAATATTTTTCAATATAGGCAATGTTCTGAATGTGATAAAGAATCTTCTGGATCAGAAGTTGAACGTGTAGATACTTCAGCTCCACGTAAATTAAGACATTGTAAAGACGATTCAAATCTAACATCAACACCAACACCACCACAAGAAATACAAGTACCTACGACGCCAACAACACCTAGTACATCAAAGAATTCTTCTACTAATCTTAATAATATAACGAATGTTTCTACACCTGATACACCTACAACACCAAAAGTAAATATTTTTACATATAATGTAGAGAAAGAGAAACCAATTTTTTATTTCTAGATTCATAAGTTCTTTATTATCTAAATCTTTTTAGGTAACTATAAAACCAGTTGGACCACAACCTTTATCTTCAACTCCTATTCAATCAAATGAACCAGTGTACAATCAACAACCTATTAATAATATGACAATAACCAGGGAAGGTTCACCTGAATATATGGTAGCTTCAGCAGATGGTACAGAATCTGTTTCACAAAGAAGCGCTAAAAAGAGAAGAAGGTATATTAAAAAAATAAAATATAAAGAAAAAGATAAAATATATTTCTATGTAAGTATAAAATATAATATTTTTTAGAGAGAAACATAAAAGATATACTCCTGATCCAATTACGGGTATAAAGCAAAGAAAACGCAAACATAAGAGAAAAAGTCTTGATGTAGAAAATCCTGAAGGACAATCTCAACCAGAAATTCATAGGAGAATTACAATAAAAGTACATAAATATTTATAAATAAACTTTAATGTTATGTATGTACAAATATACTATTTTTTTTTTTATTAAACAGATAAAACCAATTCCAAGGCCAGAAGGAGATGTAGCATCAGAATCAAGTCCACAAATGTTTGTTGCCACATCTACTAGTACAGAAATTACATCACCACCGCCACTTCCTAAATTACCACCTCCATCTGTTCCATCTTTGACTTCAAATACTACACCTGTAACATCAAATGCATCTACTAATAATACAAGTAGAACATCTACGGGAAACGGAAAAAGAGGAAAAGATACAGACCTTTTAACACAATGCAATGTCTGTGATATGCCTGGCACCAGTCAAAATCTCGTTATGTCAGTTCATATAAATACATTAAATATTTATTTTTTTAAACAAATTCCGAATTTATGAATTTATTAATTTTAATTTTTTAGGTGCGATGAATGTAAAAAATGTTATCATTTCACCTGTCTTGATCCACCAGTTAAAAAATCACCTAAAAGAAGAGGCTATTCATGGCATTGTGCTGACTGCGATCCTAGTGTAAGTTAATTTATTTTTAGTGTCTACATTCATTGTAATGTCAATCCAAAATATGTTATTAAGGTACTTTTTATTAGTCGAAACAAGAGAAGAAATAGAAGAAAAAGTAAAAACAAAATTAAATTTATATATATATCTTAATTTGTAAATATATATATAATATTATATAAATTATATTAATTTGTAAAAGAAATAGTGTGATCAATAGCATAAATGTGACAAAATATAAAGTACTTTAATATTATACATATAAATAATGAATTCTTTCTATAATTTTAAACATAGAACAAACAATCTTATTAATAACTAGTTGCTAACATTAACTAATTATTTTCAGTAAAAGCTGTGCCATCTTTATTTATTGAATAATCAAATGCAACGTTCCATTTACGAAATGTTGAATGGCAATTAGTTATTAATACGAAAAAAAACTTAAAATCTCACTTTTATATGAAAATGGGAACAATTCTTCATAAAAGATGGATAATACACCTACACTTCGTATAATTTTGAAGCAGCCAAAGCAACAAATTAGGCTAAAACTTATTTATGGATATTTTTATCTTTGATTTAAAATTGTTACTAGGAATATATCTTGAAGCTAATTTAATTCAATAAAAGAAAGAATCTGTAATAGTAAAAATATTTCTTTCATTTCAGGCCTCTGAATCTGAGACTTAATATCAACAATTTTATGTCTGCAGCTATAATTCTACGTTCAAATAAATTAAGACATCAAATGTCATTGTTTTTTGTAAAATATATAGAATATAATTAATATTTTTCCTCTAATTGTAGAAATCTCTTGAAAATACATATTACAAATTTCACTTTTATATATAATTTAAGATTTCTGTATATGTTTGGTGAAATTTTCAGTATTTATTTTCAATGGATTCTGCTTAATTTTATATTTTTATTTCTACATATGTATATATGTATATATATATTTTTTTATTCTTGTATATATATATATATATATATATACATTAACATTCATCAAGAATTCTACATATTTAGAAAGGTAAGAACAATTAAAGAAATTATACAATTTAAAAATGTTTTAGTATTTATATTACCTTTGATATTATTTGTAAAATGTAATTTTGCAACTATTTATATAGATTTTAAATATATTTTCTACAACAAAATTTCAGATAAATTTGTTTATAATGATGTGGTTTCATAATATTTTTTTATATTATAAATTAAAAATTTGTTAAATATAAATCAATATTAACTTTCAAAATTTACATAAAAAATATTTTTGTATTATTTTTTCCAGACATAAAACCATTATAAAAATCAAGAGCACTCATAGTTTGTTTACCTTGAACAATTATTTTTTTTACAGAAACAAAACTATTTTCTTTGCATTTTATAATTAATGCATTATTCTTTTTGCTATATATTGCAACACCTATAAATTAAAAATGTTTTGAAAAATATATTCAATAACAATAACAAACTATTCATTCTCAATCATTTTATTATATAATATAACAGAATTATATTTACCTGCATTTTCTTCTTTAAGTTTTGTTGCTATTATTTTTGATTCAATTTTTTGAATATCAAGCAATTTTATTTTTACATTTTGAAATGATGTAGTTAAATTATACAAACCCAGAAGAGCACGATGTAAGTTATAAACATTTGTGGCAGACATTTCATTCCAATTAACTAAAGATATTTTTGATGTTATTTTTGGTGCTAAAAATATATCAATTTATTATAATATATATCATAATATATATCATTATTATAATATATATCATCTGCATCATTATAATCAAATAAATATTTCATTAATAACAAAAAATATATATTCACCATATGTTATATTAGTTTCATCTTGAGGTTTTGCAAATTGTAATAATTCCAATAAATTTTCAAATGTTTCTCTTAAAAGATTTGCTCCAAGCTTTGCTAATTTTGTATATAATTTTGGCATTGTTTCATGTTCATCAATATTTATTTGTTTTTGCAATACTATTTCTCCTATATCAAATCTGAAATATTTTAAATATAATAATATTATTTTTGCTATTATTCTTAAGTATTTTATTTCTTTTACTTTTGTAATACAACTTTAAAAAATAAATTTATATAACTAAATAGTAATAAATTTTACTTTTTTGGCATTATCTTCATTATTGTAACTCCTGTTTGTAAATCTCCATTAATTAATGTATAAATTATTGGAGCTGCTCCTCTCCATCTTGGTAATAAACTACCATGTACATTTAACATACCTCTAATGAAAACATATGTAACATTAATAAAAATTTAAAATTATATATAAATAATATTAATCTATATTAAAGACAACTTACAATGGAAATGCATTTATGATTGTAGATGGAATTAAATGACCAAATGAGACAACTATTCCAATGTGAAATTCTGATTTATTAATTTCAACTGGCCATTTATGTACAATAATTTTATTTTGTTTTGCATATTTTACAACAGGATTTTCTTTTATTTTATAATTTGTAACAATTTCTAGCCGTTCTAGCTCTTTAGATTTACTATATATAAATATTTAAAATATATATATTTTAAAACTTATTTCAAATTATTGAGGATTTATAATATTAAAATAACAAAATTTTTCTTACTATTTATTATACAAGATTTTCAAACTTTCAACTGCAAATTCATCTGTACCAAAAAATAATACTTTCCATGAATTATTTTGTAATATATGCGATTTATTATAAAAAGTATAATATTTATTATATACTTTTGAATTAATTACAAGAAATATTTTATTTATTCCTTTGAATGAACATAAAAATTGTGTTGTATTATATACTGTACGACTTAAAATTATATACATGTTTTATTTTATATTCTATAATAAACCATTTCGACCGTAAAAACATATACTTATATATATATATATATATATAGAACTATATTTATAAGTAGGGTTGCCACCTTTTTGATTATAGCTTATAAAGTTTTAATAAATCTTAAAGAAATATTTCGCTAGAATATTTTGTTAATAGAAAATTATTAGAAAATTATTATTATAGTTTTTTATTATAATAAGATAATAAGAACAATAATTAATATAATAATAAAATTAATATATAATAAAAATGGAAATACTTAAAGTATTATTTTTAAAAAATTTTATTTTTTTTTTATTTTTTTTTATATTTAAAATTTTTTGTAATAAGAATATTTTATTATTAATTAAATATATTTGTTAGAAAATTTTATTAATATGTTATTTTTTTATCCTTTCTATTTTTAGATTTTTATTGAAATCTTTAAGTAATAATTTATATTCTATCTAAATATGATTATAATATGATTATAATAAACTGACAATCTTGATTATAATTTATGATTAATATTCAACAAATTAATTATTTTATTATAACGATATCAATTCAATATTTATTTTCTTCTAATTTAATAAAAAAAATTTTTTCAATTTTTTTCTAATTTAATAGAAACCAATTTAAAAAATAATTTAAGTATGAAATTCTTGATTTTATCAAAATATGCTAATATATACATTTGCCATAAAATAAAGATTATAGAAAAAAATTATAAGTTATTTATATATGATTTTAAAAAAAAATTAAATGAAAATGAAATAAATGATTAATAAGTTTATATATATATGTATATATACATTTATTAAAAACAATTTATTAAAAATTTATTTATTACAAAAAAATTCATGATTGCAATAATTTCAGTATAGATTTTGACTTAATTAAATTAATAATAATTTATATAATTTTATATATGTAATAATTAAACGTATTTAAATAGTCATTACCTGCATACAATAATTTTGTTTATTGAATAAATTATAAATATAAATATGGCGTTAAATATGTTTAAAAAATATTAATTTTATATAAGAATAGTTTTTAAGCCAATAGATTCTTAAACTTAAAATTAATATTTTTATTCATAAAAATTAAATAAAGATACAAAAAAAATTAATAATTTTTTATGTTTAAAGTGAAATTTAAAGTTTAATCATAAATTTTTGGATTTATGATTTACATAAAAAAATCTATAATTTTTTTATATATTTTTCAAATAAAAATTTATAGAATTTTGCGGAATTTTAAGTTCTCTTCTATAAATTTTTAAAAAAATTCAAATCTAAGTTGGCGAAACTGACATCCTAATACTACTTCAACATTTAAAGTTATAGTTACGACAGTTATAATATTTTAAGTTGTCGATAATTATAGTGCTTAATGATATTAATATTTTATAAAATACATATTTTTGATTTAATTTCTTGAAAGATGTCACGAATAAGAAGACTTTCTATTCGTGGTATTCGTAATTTTGGTGATGAGAAAGAAGAAGCTTTGATTAGATTTTCTCGTCCTTTAACACTTATTCTTGGTCCAAATGGTACTGGAAAAACAACAATTATTGAAGCTCTCAAATTCGCTACTTGTGGTGAATTTCCACCTGGCTCAGATCGCGGAAAATCTTTTATACATGATCCGACTTTATCAACAACTTCATCAGTATGATAAATCTTTTATTATTATATATATTTTTATTTTTAATTAATTTCAAAATTAAAATTTTTCTTAAATAATTTTTTTTAAAAAATATATTTCTTGATATTCAATTATTTTTTTTTTTTCACATAGGTTCGAGGTGTTATAAGAGCTGAAATAATTGATGTAGTAGGTAATACATATACAATATGTAGAACAATAGAAAGTACAAAAGCTAATGTGACAAGATTTAAAACTCTTGATAGTGCTTTAAGTAGAGTAAATAAAGATACTAAAGAGGTATATTTTAATAAAAGATAGAAAATAAATATATGTTTGTATATAATTTATATATAAATTTTTATATTTATAATTCTTTATTTATATAGGTCATATCAATAACTAATCGATGTACTAATGTTGATACAGAACTTACATTAGCAATGGGAGTTTCTAAACCTATTTTAGATTACGTAATTTTCTGTCATCAAGAAGATCTTAGTTGGCCTTTTCAAGATGGTAAAAAATTAAAAGAAAGATTTGATGAAATCTTTGATAGTGCTAAGTTTAATAAAGCTCTTGAAAGTATTATGAAATTAATTAAAGATTTGAAACAAAGAGTCAATATATTGAAAGAACAAAAACAAAATTATCAACTTATTGTTAATGAAGTAATAGATAAAGAAACAAAACTTGAAGATAATAAAAAACGGTTGGAAAATTCTAAAATTAAAATTGAAGAATTTAATAAGGAATTAGAACCTGTGATTCAGAAAATTAAAAAATTGGAAAAAATAGATGTTGAATATAAAGATCTACAAAATGAACAAAGTAATATTTTAATATTATTTTTATTATAATTAATAAAGTAAATTAATAAGTTAAATTTTAAATTAGTAATTAATATTATAATTAATTATTTTTATACATATATATATGATTTTTATTTAGAGAGGAAAAAAGCAGAATATGATATGTTTAAACAACAATTGAATAGTTTAAAAGAAGATTTGCAGAATATATTTGAAGGTACTACAGAAAAATTATTAAAAGAAATAGAATCATATGATGAAGAATTAATTGGAAAAATTAATGAAATTGATGAAGTAAATATATATATATATATATTTATTATTAAATATAATTAAACTAAAAAAAATATTGAATATTATATTTTCTTTATTTTATTTTTATTATATTATATTATATATATTATATTATATTTTCCTAGTTTAAAAAGAAATTAAAAGATATTGTTGAAAAAGAGTCTACAATATCAAATAAATTAGCCAATGAAAGAGTAACTAATGGTTCTTTGAGACAACAAATTAAAGATCATGAGAAAAAAGTTATTCTTCGCAATCAAATATTAAATGAATCATTATCTTCCTG